CTGTGATGGGCATAACTCAATATCCGTTGCTCATAAAATGTCTATGAGGCATCATTCACCAAAGATGACAGGCAGAACTGTTGGTATAGGTGATTGTCCACTATAATGGTTATGTAACGCAATGTGTGCTTACACATTTGTATTGCAAACAGTGGTTTTGGGTGTATAAAAGGAAAGATGGCTGCCAGTTTGTAGTATACAAACGACACTCAAGCGTGAAACATCTTTTCGGGGTGCTCCGCAAAATCGCTCTTTTGAACAATTATTTTTATGTACATTGTATATCCTTGATAAATAAGAACGGAACGATGACAGTGTGAGAGCTTGTATACTTGCTTGATTCTTATTTTATGACGTTACCGACAATTTATAAAAAGTTACAAATGTGTCCTGAAATAAATAAATTGCTAAGATCCTGCTAAAAAAAAAAATTGGTGTCCGACAACATTATGCACTCTGTGTTAAAGAATTTTTTGTAACATACGAGTCAAATCAGTTATTCGTGTAATGCACGATATTAGATTATGAAGTTGACACCACCGGTTGAAACAATAACAGCTGTGGATCAAGTAAACAACTAGGTGGGCCGTGCAAATTACATTTCTCATGATGCACTGGTGAAATTCCTGGAACTGCGGAGCTTATTAAGTTCATGTGCAATAAATCATTCTTTTGTATATGAGACATGGTTAAACAGTGATCATACTTTATAAACATCAAAGTATCTGATCTACAAGGTATGTAATTAGTCTGCTAATTTAGGTCGTCACTCACTCTAGTTCTGCAAATATAAAACTATATTTTACAAAAACCAACTTACACTTAAAATGCATCGCACACAGTAAATGTGGTTTATTAACAATAAATAAGAATGCATTATGTCATGTATAAATATATATTTTTTTGTTTTTCCTGTCACTACCTCGTGTCAGTTATTGTATCTATATTTTGACAGATCGTAATGACTACCTATATGTACTAGAAAATACACAGAAAATATTGTTCAAGTATGGTACTCAAATAATAGCAAAAAAAGTATCCTGTGCATATTCAACTGAATCTGGAGACTTCTTGACACCACAGTCTGTCACCAGATTACTAAAACTGGTAAGTTATTAAAACAACGAGGGGTTTACGAACACTTTCTGGCCTAGACTCACTTAGAATTGTTTTAAGAATCTACACTCATTTACAAAAATGTACATATTTGTATCAATGCTTGCTATGTGTTGTGTGTTTGTATAGATAGACAATATATTCAAAGTGAGTATGTTTTTTTTGGTGTTTTTTTTTGTCATAATACCTTGCCATTACTGCAAATCATTTGTTGGCTAAAACTGCAATAAATTCACTCAGGTACTGTTGGTGGACTCGACTATATGGTTGCATACTAAACGATGAATACACAGCTTTATACATGTGTACCGGCAGTTTATATACTACATTCTAAGTCGGAGATTATTATTATGCATGTCTCACTGTGTTTATTACATGCCATTTTGTGATGTCCTTGTTAAAGCTGTCAGTAAGGAACACAGCTACTGGCTGTGGCTAGACATGAATCTTGTGTTGCATGTTGTAGTACCAGTATATTGAAACAAGTTTTACCAATTATACAATACCAACAAAAATACAGTAGTTACTAATAGGTGATATTTTCATTTATTTTGAGATTTCATGTATTGTGTGAAAGTCATGAATAAATTTTGAGCTTTTTTGAATTATTTTTTCAGGTAATATTGCGTTTAGGTACCTTCATCAAAATTGCCCATCATCATCCATGTTTGTCAAATCCTACATGATGTTTTATTGTCACTGCAACACTATAACCTATATTGTCTTGTTTTAGCATTCAATTTCATGCATAACATTGGGTCTCATAGTAAAAATGGTCTATTGCCAACTGATTGTACTTATTGTAATAAAAGAATAATTTTCCTGTCTCATTAAATTACCAATCTTTGTATTTTGTGTTTCAAGATTGCTCCACTCCAGCATATGTGTTCGAATATTCAACGTTATAACTTGACAGTATTTGCATTAAACCGATTTGAAACTCAGCCGAGTGTGGACAGTTTGGTTGATTTACAAATCGTTTCTGGGTGAGTTAATTTGAATATTCAACATCACATTATTAGTCCTCGCTCTGACACAGTCCGAAATCAGGGACTTATGTTTTGACCTTCGTGTGTCCCTGCGTGTGTGCATCCAGACCTGTATCTTAGACATGCCTGGACCAATGACAATCAAACTTCACACATACATCATACATAATATTATATATGCAAATCAATTTGTTTCATGATCTGATTCAAGATGGCCGAATGGTAGCATCAAGCAAAATCAAGCATTTAAACTTGGTACATACGTTGGACATTATGGGACCTTGATGCACATCTTTTTATTTTTTAGATCCAATTAAAAATGGCCGACTGGCGGTCATTTTGTTTTAATGAATGTAGTACTAGTGCCATATGTCTGCCATGCTTTGACTGATTCTGATCAAATTTTATATATTCATTATACATCATGACATAGATATATTGGTTTGACTATCTGTTTCAAAATAGACAAATGTCATTTTTGTGCTAAAAAAACACATCAATAATCAAGCATTTCTGGCATTCCAGAACTGGATTTTGATGTTTATGGATGGATTTTGTTCAAAATGGCTTACTGGTGGCCATTTTGTTTAAATAAATGCACTTCTAGAGCCATATCTCTGATACGCTTTGACTGATTATGTTCAAATTTTATACATTTGTTTCACATCATGTTATAGATATATAGATGTATTCAAAATGGCTGACTGGTGGCCATTTTGTTTAAATTAATGCTGACATGTTTATGTTCCAACTATATTACTATAAACAAAACTATATATCTAAAATTTGATAACTAACGAGGTCTATCCTGTTTGGGTGAGTTTTGTTCATTGTCCAGATTTGTTTGATACACTGTTCAGCAAAAACTTCATCCATGGGCGATGTTTTGGGTGATGTTTTGGTGCAAAATACAAGTCACAGAAAATATCCAGTAGAGATAAAGGTTTCAAAAGTTTCCTCGTGTCTAAATTAGAGGTCCGTTTAGGTATGTCGTAGTCGTTGGCGCTTATTTGTGAATACAATATGAATGGGTAAACTTTGTTTAGTAATAAGCTGTTATCAGTGAAGTGTTAATTTAAAAGTACTTCTTCATTGACCAGTTTATCTCTTGAAAATCCCAATTTCCTGCTATTTCACACTGAAATCAGTGCCAAAAGATCGTAACACTGTAATAACACTTTGTTGTGTTCGCCATCCTGTACTATTTTATTTGGAGCATGTTCTGCACTTTGATGTACCAATGAATATTATTAAATTGAATTCACTGAGTATGTGAAATGCCAAAAACTGTATTATGATGCATCTTTTAGAACCAATTAAAGGCATTTCATTCTCGCCTGATTCATTATATCTTGCGAAAACATTTCTGCAATTTCAGATCTGGTCCTCTATACATAGATTTTGTTAAAATTTGGTTTGGGATGTCACTTTGTTTGTCAGATCAAATTCAAAATGGCTGATTGGTGGCCATTTTGTTTTAGATAATGCCGTTTTGGAGCAATATCTCTGACATTCTCTGACTGTTCATGTCCAATCTTATATATTTCTTGAACTTAAACAATTACTTGTTACTTAATTATTAAAATATTGCTTATTTTGACCAGAGAAACATTTAAGTAATTACATATGCTACTACAATAAGCAAGTACAGTATTATATTTTTATATTTGCTCTATTTGAAGCACATCTCTAATTCAAGCACACATTGATCAAAAATTACATTTACTGTATGACTTGCTTTGATAACAGATTCTGACATGTTATATATACACAAGCCCTACTACCGGTAATAGAGCAAACTGTTTTTAGTTTTCTGTACAACAATAAGGTGCTCGATCAGATTAACACTTGGTACATGCATGTCAGTGGGGGGGATCGGCATGAGAAGGCGCCGTCCGATCTGAATGGAACGTTTCAAAGTCAGTTGTCCATAGCCCATCGTCAAAGCAACAACGTCCCTTTTACGAACATGTGAAATAATTTCAGTTATTTTTTTACAGAATAATCCTCAAAACATTTCATAGAAAAATACAGGCTCTAAAGTTATGTCCATTGCAAAGCAATTCAACCGAAAGCAAGTTTAATGCCACAATATCTTGGTGTGAAGTCTATGTGTAATTTTATTGTGTTCAAAAGTATTCCATTTCAAATTGCACATGCACACACTAATCCGTACTAATTAGGTAACGTGTCACTGACAAAAGTCCCTGAAAACATTTTGAACTACTTTGAGCATTCTCCATGAATTTAGTAACTTGCTATGATCAGGGTAAATGAAAAATCTGTGGTTACTTTCAACAGTTTGCTGGAGTTGGATCAAAATCGTGTCTCAAAAAACACCTTTACATAAGTTTTTTGATTATTTTTTTCAGCTCGTAACAATAGAATCAGTCAATTTAAAACTATCATGCATGCGGAAAGCATTTTGGCACAATTTTACTGAAATGATTAGTTTTTCTTTGCTCGTGAATATTAATTTATGCAAATGAGACATTTATTTCCACCAATCATGTCATGCACCCCCCCCCCCCCCCGATGCATGTTGAATATCTCATTATTTAACTGTGCACTTTTGCAAATGTATCATTCAGTATTTTTAATGTCTTTTTATTTTGCAGTTATTCATGGCCCACATACAAAGCAAAATGCCTTAAATTTATGGAGCTCCCATGGTAAGATTTTTTTGTATTCCAAATGCAGTGTTTATTTGTCATTTGTTGGTATCTTAAATATTAGCCCTGACTTGACAGATCACTTTACACACCTATCACTTGAATTGATTGAGTTCATTGATGCTGAAGACACCATATCCATGGAAATGTTCAGTAATTTTCAGCTGTTGGCTAAAATCTTCTGCCCTTGATAGCATGCAACCACATTTAACTGTTGCATTGTGTATGTTGTTTCAGGTATAATATGTAGCAGGCAATGCTTTGTAGAGCAAGTTTAACTTTACAGTCTAGTTATTTAACTGTTGCATTGTGTATGTTATTTCAGGTATAATATGTAGCAGGCAATGCTTTGTAGAGCAAGTTTAACTTTACAGTCTAGTTATTTAACTGTTGCATTGTGTATGTTATTTCAGGCATAATATGTAGCAGGCAATGCTTTGTAGAGCAAGTTTAACTTTACAGTCTAGTTATTTAACTGTTGCATTGTGTATGTTATTTCAGGTATAATATGTAGCAGGCAATGCTTTGTAGAGCAAGTTTAACTTTACAGTCTAGTTATTTAACTGTTGCATTGTGTATGTTATTTCAGGCATAATATGTAGCACGGCAATGCTTTGTAGAGCAAGTTTAACTTTACAGTCTAGTTATTTAACTGTTGCATTGTGTATGTTATTTCAGTATAATATGTAGCAGCAATGCTTTGTAGAGCAAGTTTAACTTTACAGTCTAGTTATTTAACTGTTGC